TGTGTTCATGCAAACAATCAGACCAAATTGAAACTTAACGTAATACAGTAAATATATTGGTCTTAATTTGGCTCTTTAATAAAAATGAGGGTGGCCATAACCAGTTTGGCTCAGTGGATAGATCGTTGGCCGGCGGACTGAAGGGTCCCAGGTTCGATTCTGGTCAAGGGCATGTACCGTGGTTGCGGGCACATCCCCAGTAGGGAGTGTGCAGGAAGCAGCTGAATCGATGTTTCTCTCTCATCGATGTTTCTAACTCTCTATCCCTCTCCTTCTCCCTTCCTCTCTGTAAAAAAATCAATAAAATATATTTTTTTAAAAATGAGGGTGATTTTAGGGAGGGGGAATTATGTTTACATAGACTTTATAATACACAGTTATGAATATTAGTCTCACAGCTTTATTTTTCATTTATGATTTGAATTGGATCCTAAATTAATCTTAAATATTTGGCTACAACCCTCCAAACTATTCTTTCTTTCCTTTCATCAAATCATTTGTCATAATTCTTGCTGTTCTAGCTTTTGTCCCAATAACAGTAAGATTTGTAGCACAGTTTGTCTCCATCCGGTTACAATCCCTGCTTGTACTCAGGAAATACCACTCCTCAACACCATCACAACCTCCTTTTGTGGCCAGGCCTTATTGTCCCTAACAGAGAGCAAGGATTTTTGGCTCTGAAGAAAAATGTTGCCCCTTTCAGCAGGAAGCAGCTATAGAAGAGATCTTATACCCTCTTTTCTCTGAAAGAATTCAGTGCCAAGATCCTTGAGGGGGTGAGGGGGGAGTGTTAGACAGAACCCAGAGCAAGAATGATGGACTAGGTACAGAAACTCACTAGGGCAGAAAGCCCTAGATGCCTAGCAAGGGGCAAAACTGGGAAAACAAGAACCTGGCCCCCAAGGTAATCTATCTTCCCCTAGCATATCACTGGTCATGTGATTTGGACTCCAGATATTTCACATCTCTAGTCAGGAATTTATACCCCCTGACCTTTTCCTCCCTAAAGATAAACATCTAGGCCTCAGTTGTATTTCAGCTTCCGGCCCAGAAAAGCAGCAAAACCAGACACGTGGTGCTGTGGCTGCCTCAGGACCAGCTTTTACCTCTCAAGTCATTCAACTGGTTTCCTCAGCCTTGGGTATCTGATAATTTCACCCTCCCTTATAATAATGGACACACTAAGGTGCTAGGTGATTGGTTTCTGACATGTGGCATAACTGTTTATTAAGAATAATTATTAACAAACAGAAAGAGGAGGGAAACATTAGGCCTATAGGACAATACAATCCTTAGCAGCCATCTGTAAGCTTCCCACCACAGGAGAACAAAAGACCAAGAAAAACTCACTAGACACCAGGAGTCAGACCATACAAGGAAAGGAAACCGTTCTGAAGGCTACTGATTGCACACCTGCATTCCATCCACATTCCAAGCCCACCAGCTCAGCCCCCAAACCCACTGATGACAAGTTTCCTGCCAGTGACTGCATGTAAGGATGAAACTCTGGCTCCTGGGTGCTGTCATCATTGACCCAGTGTCCCCTTGGCTGGGTGCTATGCAGCCCTTCCTTTGGATACTCCAACCCCCATCCTTAAATAAATTTAATTTTTTTTTAAAAAATTACCAGCTAAATTTGTAATAATTTGAAGAAGTATTTGTTCCAGTTCTCGTCTCAAAATCAATGCAGCATACATTTATTGAGTACCCACAATGTATCAGGTACTGTTTTGAGCACCAGTAAAAAAAATTTCTGTCTCTGCAATTGTAAAGAGAAGGGTATAGACAACTTTAAACAACTAGAGCAGTGGTTCTCAACCTGTGGGTCGCGACCCCTTTGGGGGCTGAACGACCCTTTCACAGGGGTCGCCTAAGACCATCGGAAAACACATAAATAATTACATATTGTTTTTGTGACTAATCACTATGCTTTAATTATGTTCAATTTGTAACAATGAAATTGGGGGTCACCACAACATGAGGAACTGTATTAAAGGGTTGCGGCATTAGGAAGGTTGAGAACCACTGAACAGAGGCCTGGTGCACAAATTTGTGCACGGGTGGGGTCCCTTGGCCTGGCTGGTGATCGGGGATAATTGGGGCTGGCTGAGGGGAGGGACTGCAGGAGGTTGGCTGTGGGAGTGCACTGACCACCAGGGGGCAGCTTCTGCATTGAACACCTGCCCCCTGGTGGTCAGTGTGCATCATAGCTACCGGCCGGTCGGCCAGTCATAACGGTTGCTTAGG